TTATCCTACAGTGTCACATATTAAGCATGCTTAATATTTAAAACATTAAAACTGAATTATACTCACTAATCTAAATTATGTATTGTTTGTGATTTATTGTCCTCTTATATTGTGAAAATATTTAAATTAATTATATTTTTTAAACATATAAAACAAAAGCCTCTGTAAAGAAATTAAGAGGCTTACCAAGTACATATGATCCTATTGCTTTTTTTTTTTTTTTATGTTTTATTGTGAATTATATGAGAGTTTACATGGGAGAACATTAGCTTTACATTCATCCTATCGTATATAAATCTTTTCATTGCCATGGTTACAATCCCCTCCATGCATCATCAACCAACCAGATGGCACATCCTGCAAGCCTGCCCCCTGGTCATCAACACACATCCCCTCTCCCTCTCTGAGTCTAGAGTTCCTAGCTGCTCCATCTCTCCACATCACCGTCTCTGCCTCCATCTCTGGAATCACTATTTCTCTGGGTAGGATCCCGCACTCCGCTCTTCTCCCTTGATGGTCCTAGGGTCCTCAACTCCTGGACTGAAAAGTCAACCTCCTTTTGCTACAAAACATCTATCTTTACATTCCAACCCCCACAGTCAATTCTGGTAACAATTCACTATTGTACCACATGAGTGCTATCCATATCTCCTTTACCGGCCCAGACAATGGAGAGTCTACCTTCCTCTGCTCCCTCTGGATCTAGGTTCCCTCTTGAAAGCTTGTAAACCAGTCACCTCTTGCCTTTGTAGCCCCCCTGCATTTTGGGTAGCCAATGTCCAAGTTGTTCATCCCTGTCTACCCTGTCTATTGAAGGGGTGGGAATGACCCTTACTGTAAAGATTTGTTCCCTCTTTTGAGCTACTGCATCCATAAGCATAGGTCAAGTTCATCAAATTGTATCAGATTACTTTTTTCCTCTTCTTTCTTCTTCTAGTTGAGCTCTGATCATCCAGTCATTGAAGCCAGATCAAGTGGGTATTATCTGCAAGTGTGGGTGTTCTTTTGCATATGCCCTCTCTTCTTATCAGCTGGACACTTCATTCTCCACTCTAGTCCTCTGTGGCTATGTCACTGACTCTGGGCCCAGTAGTCCCCAGGTCTTGCCAAATTGCTGGCCAACCAGGTCTCCACCTGGGTTCACAGGAGTGTATTGAATGTGGTTGGATTTAGCTCACAGCTTCATTGCTATTTTCTCTCACTTCCCCTTATCAGTCACCAATATAGTCTACACAGTCAGTCCTGATAGCAATTACTCATTATTGTGCCACATGAGTGCCATCCTTTCCTCAGTGCCACAAGTTTGGGCATTCTCGTGTGTCTTCCCTCACTTCATATTCATTGGGTGCTTTGCTCTCAGATATAGCCCTCTGTGAGGGTTGGAAATGTAAAGGTAGTCTTTGGTAATTCAGATGATAGTTCCCATAAAAATAAACAAGAGCACTTTTTTGTTTCCTTCCTTAAAGAAAGGGAAGAGTAATGAGTTAATGTAGGATCACAAACTCTGAGATTTTCTGAGGCCTGACACATGAACTAAATTTGTGAAGCAGCTTTATGTAACACAGTAGAGAGTGCTAAGTGAGTGCAGTGGCCTTGTAGGGTAATCGCTGGACTGAGAACAGCAACGTTGGCGGTTTGGGCCCACCAGTTGCTCCATGGGAGAAAGATGAGGCTTTCTGATCCTGCAGAGATTTACAACCTCAGAACCCACATACAGGGCAGGGCTGCTATGAATTGGACTGGACCACACTTACAAATAACAAAACATAGTGATATGTCAGTGGCAACACAAGAGTGCTTGTCTTACCCAAGAAGTTTTAGTAAAAATATTCTAATCTCAAAAACTTTTAGACCACTGAGCTGACCAAATAAAACACTTTTATTGGTAGTTGATACTGATCTTAGTTATTGTTAACATAAGCAACTTGTGGTTTTTCCTGTGGGGAAGATTGATATCCTGGTTGATGATAATGGGTCTTTGTAAGTTAACTTCCTGGGGTGGACAGTACTCCAAAAGTATATTAGGTATGCAAGACCTTGTTGAATCTTAAAATTAAAAATTAAAAATTACTTCCATAATTACAATTAAAACAATCCTAAACCCTACTTTTACATTTATGGATTAAACATTCAATATGCAATTAAGGATCTCTGGTAGCGAAGTGGTTATGAATCGGGCTGCTAGCCTCAAGGTCAGCAGTTCGAAACTATCAGTGGTTCCGCGGGAGAAAGTTGAGGTGTTCTGCTCCCGTAAAGATTTACAACCTCGGAAACCCTGTGCAGGGTCACTTTGAATCGGAAGCGACTTCACGGTACTTAACAACAACAACTAAGGAGCTCTGGTAACATAGTGGTTATGAATCGGGTTGCTAATCTTACAGTCAGCAGTTCGAGACTACCAGCTGTTCCACGGGAGAAAGATGAGGCTTTCTGCTCCCGAAACGATTTACAGCCTCGGAATCCCTATGCAGGGTCGCTATGAGTCGGAACCGACTCCACGGCACTTAGCAACAACAGCGTTTTATCTTTCCAAATAAGAAAGAAATTAAAATATTGTTTTTGTAAAGAAATATAAATTTTACTACTAGAATAATCCTCTGGAAAAAAAATCTCACTTTTTATAAAAAAATGTATCTATATATTTAATCTATAAATCATTTATTTTATCTGGGAGAAAATACTTAATCAAGCAAAGTAAATGCAATAAATGATAATGGTTGGTTTAAACCACTGTGACTGACACCTTTCATCTACAGCTCTTTAAACTTTTGAGATAATTTCCATGACGTTCATACTTCCCTTGGGAGTTTTAACTGTCATTCAGAGAACTGAAGATATAAAGAAATCATTTATAAATTAGATGGAATGATAAGTCTGATTAGTTGAATGCTCTGGCATTTTTTTTTCAAGGGTTTTCCACTTGCAGCAAAAACGTATATGGTTATTACAAGAAATTTCACTCCTAGATATACATCCAAGATAACTGAATATGTATTTAAAAAATTTTTTTTCACATAGATTTCCTTAGTAGCATTAGTCATAAGAGCCCAAAAGCAAAAACAATCCAAATGTCCAATAACTAGTGAATGGATAAACAAAATGTCAAAATGTGGTATATCCATACAATGGAAATTATTTGATCATAAAAAGGAATAAAGTATTTATACATGCTACATCTGGATGAACCTTAAAAACATGCTAAGTGAAAGAAGTCAGACAGAAAGTCACATGTTGCTGATTTTTTTTTTTTATGATTTTATCCAGAATAGGGAACTCTATAGAGACAAAAAGTAAATAATAGTTTCCAAGGACTAGAAGAAGTGGGGAATGGGGAGTGACTGGTAATGGGCATTGGGGTTTCTCTGAAGTAATAAAAGTGCTATGGAACTAGAAAATAGTAATAGTTGCATAATTTTGTGAATATGTAAAATAAACTTTAGAAGGATGAACTTATGGTATGTGAATTACATCTCAATAAAGCTGTTATTAAAAAGTATAGTTATTATTATTATTATTATTATGTTGTTGTTGTTGTTAAGTGCCATTGAGTCAGTTCCAACCTATAATGACCCTGTATAGGTTTCCGAGGAGCAGCTGGTGAGTTGGAACCACCAACCTTGCAGATCAAACCAACTTTGCAGTCCAGCACCTTAACCCAAAGCGTCACGTCAGGAGGACTCCATAGTTATTATAACCTACTCATATTAAATATCTAAAAGAAGTTTCCATACTCACCAAAAAGTGATAGGATCCAGTATACCTTAAATATACTCCTGATGTGGTGCTATAGGATCAGTGTTGGACTGCAAACCAAAAGGTTGGCAGTTCAAACCCACCAGCTACTCCTCAAAAACCCTACACAGGGTTGCTTTGAGTGGAAACCAACTTGACAGTACTCAAGAACAACATATATATCATATATATATAAGAATCATCCCTAAAATTATTTAATGAAAAAAATGGTTTCAAAACATCATTTACACTATAGTTATATAACAGAAAACATAAACAAATTTTAAATGTAAATATATTTTAAAAATTAAAATAACTAAGAAATACAATCTATACATATGAAAACACAAAATATTTATATGCATAACAAGTAGTAGCAACATTATTCATAAGCAGCAGTTAGTGTTTATTTTCCCCATATTTTGGTTTAAAGACCATATAGTAGTATATTCCTTTTAGGGAAATTGCATAAGGTACATATAGCATATTATGAGTAAATTGTAGAAGATTGTATATTGGAAAGTTAATTCTAAATAAAAGTAATTCTTCTGAAACCACATTCATCATTAAATTATTTTAAACTAGAGGACAATAAGTGAACCTATAATTTATTAAGTCCAAGATATATAGTCAATTTTATATGCATAAAATTACATATGGCATTTTAAAAACAACCTATTTCGTAAAATATCAGTAATTCAGGCAACTGGGATTTCCATAGGAGATAAATTTCCAGAATTTCCTTTCTATGAAGAAAAGGTCTACATGACAAATGTTGCAACTATGTTATTAAGAAATGCTACAGCATATTTTGAAACTCAAAATGGTAAGACATATGCATCAGGATATTCTTTTACCGGGTACCAGCCCTATAGCAGCATTTTAAAAGGTAATTCAAATCTAGTTCATCTCATTTCCAAATTACTTAGGTTTTTATCTCCTCTTAAAATATATATCGCATGTATAATTCAATTAAGAATTATAATTTTTACCACAAAAAAAGAATTATAATTTTCATTATAAATGGGAAGCTCTTATACTGTTAATCTAAAGATATAAGAAATAAAGTACTTAGAAAGTCTAGTACTTTATTGAAAATATATATGGAAATATATATATATTGATTTCACAAAAACAACTTGTACATATAAGCAAAATATTAAAATTTTTCTCATTTGGGAAAATGAAATAAAATACAGTGAGTGGTTTACTCTTAGTTTGTAACCATAAAAATCCCTTTTGCCTATTTATCAGACCCATCTCTATTCATGCAATTTAATGAACCCTCAAAAGAATGTACACATCTTTATACAGAATTCACATCTACATCAGTAAACTGCCAGTCCTTTTATATTTTCAGTGCTTTGTCAAAATATTGGTAACAAAGTTCTTCATTCTATGAGGCAGGAAGATGTTTCCTAAGTACTTCTTTGGATGATGAGGATATAGTATCCGGGAAAGACACCTCAAATTCTATTAGAAGGTCACCGCGTTGGTCAGGATTTTTTGGAAATGGCAGCCCATATCCAATAATTCTTCTCCTCATTCCAGGTTTCACAATATCATTTAAGGACATAGGTATGGTTCGTCCGTCCATTGTTGGTATATTAATTGAGCAACCACATAATGCCTAAAATGGATCAAATAAAATTTTTAAATTTCAAAATTTAGAAACCTAAATTTCAAAATTACCAGGTGGTAAACCTACCAGTAAAATGTTAAGCTCCAAAAGAATCAGCAGTTAAAACACTTTCCCCACCTTAGGAAAATCCTTCAAGATTTGCATTATCAGATATGTTACAAAAAAATACACAGCACAAGACAGGGCAGAGAAGTATGTCTTTCATATAGTCTTGGAATAAACAGGCTTGAGACAACATTCAAATTACAGGGATAGAATGGACTAAGAGAAGCAGGTGAAATTCAGGACTGGAAAGAGTAGGACAGAAAAAACTATCTACCTCTGGAGGGAAAATCTTGGGATGAGATATACATTTATCGTTTTAACCAACAAATGTTTACTGAGTACCTTAGCATATAGGGACCACTGATATAAACCCTACCTCAAGAAATGTACAACCTACTGAAAGAGATATATAAGCAAGTTCTTAACTATAATATAGTATAATGTTGCATACATAGAGGCATTTCTTTTGTAAGGGGATGGGCACCTGAATTACCCCTAGCTTTTGGGAATACAGAATACTTAAAGCTAACAATGGACCACTGGCAGGTATTTGAGGGGAAAAGTTTCCACAGAGTAGAACTCCATGATACAGATGTATACAAAAGAAAAAATAGAACAAATTTATGGGAATTCATATGGATTTAAGGGTAGAAAGATTAAAATTGCTTTTTTATTTTTTCTAGCAAGAATTTAGCTATAGAACCTCTTTAAAAAAATTTAAGCAGGGAACTGACATGACTATATTTGCAGGATTACATTCCAATTTGAAAAATGTCTAAAAACAGAATAACAGCTCATATATTAATGCAGCACTCATTAATAATTATTTTATCTTTTAAGATGTTTAATACCTTTTTGTTATACAATTGCAACACCCAATTAATAATTTTTTTTAAATCTTAGAGATGGGCTAAAATGATGAGCTTACCAACGTAGATCTCATAAACCACACTTGCAAAAATATGGTTACCACAGTAGTAGGCAACATTGTACATAATCCATTTAACACTGGATTTAACATTTAAATTGTTATGATAGGTAATTAAACATAGAAAACAAAACTTCATCCATAAAAAAATGTACGTTTAATAATAGTACTACTTTGGAGGGTTGTTATGAAGATTTTAAAAATAATATGTAGTAAGTACTGAATGGGGTCAGCTGTTCAAACTCACCAGCCACTCCTTGGAACCTTATACAAGATCACTATGAGTAGTAACTGACTCCACAGTACTTAACAATCACTGAATAAATGTTAACTATTATTTAGATAAATTCCCTAAAATCAGTTGCATGACTCGGTTTGATCTCAGAATTCCAAGGTAGTACAAACTTACCTCTCGTAAACTAATTTTAGCATTATAAATTATATTTGATCCATCCCTTTTAAATTTGGGGTGATCTTTATCTTTAATAATAAAAACGATGTCTGCTGGAATACTATTTGGTGTTTCATCTCCTTCTCTTGGAAAAGTAATTTTGGTGCCTTCTTTCCACCCTTTTTTAATTTCAATGGTGAGAATTTTGTCCTCAGACCTATAACTCCTTCCATCAGGGTTTAACCTTTTTCGAGAAATCTTCATTCGTTTGGTACAACCACTATATATTTCTTCAAGTGATACTCTTAGTTCATGAATTACTGGAGGATCTTGTTTGAGGCGGGATGGTCCCACAGAATTCCTATCTCTTGGATATCCATTCATGCTGAATCCAAAGGCACTAAAAGGGTCCCCATCTACTTCCATGTCTTCAGAATCTCTACCACCACCCATTCGTCTTCCAAAGAAAATTTCAAAGGGGTTGGAACCTCCAAAAAATGCTGCAAATGTGGCATGAGGATCACCATGAAAGGTGTAGCGGAAGGTACCACCTTGTCCATCAGTGCCTCCAGCTCCTCCTTTTAAGCCTAAGTGAAAGAGATAAGCATAATTAGAAAACACTGCAGCACTTGAAAATTACACATTAAAAAATGTTATTGCTAATATACACACACCAACTTAGATTGTAATTTATTAATATTGACTAAAAAGGCCATTTTAACTAAATATTAAAAACAGCTATAAAACTTCTGATGATTACATCCTAATTTAAATTTTTAGCTTTCAAATACTTCCTGCAAATACTTAGCTTTAGTGATAATTTATCCCTGGTAACTGTCCCAAAAATGAATAAGAAAAATAAAGTCAAATCAAGTACCTATCTTATAAACTCCTGGTTTGGCATACTGAGGTATATAAAATCTTTAAAATAGATCATTTAAAAGGTCTTCAGTAACCAACACAAGATGCAGAAACTAAATATTTAAGTGTCCATATAATCAATATGTAAATACTGGATTCATACTAAACAGCTTTACTAATTAACCTAAATACTTCTCACTGGTTAAGAATTAAAATGGGATTCTTTCTGTGCCAGAAAGGGAAAATAATTCAAATAAGGACACCTATGAAAACATTTTTTTTTAGACACTAAAATGATTATCCCTAACTTAAATAACAAAATTGTTTAGGCGTATCATGTCATAACATTAATTTCAGTAGCATGTAAAAATAAGACTAAAAACAAGAGCTATAAACTGTCTTGACATGTAAGGCCTTTGGACAGGCTATTTCTGTCAGTATAATTCACTTCAGATAGCTGTATATGACCCACTGATACCACCACATGGTCATCTATCCTCATTTGCACTAATGTTCTATTAAGCAATATATCGTTTACCAAGATCACATATTTGAAACTGCAGTTTGCACAACATACTAAAGAAATATTTCTACTAAAACCCACAAAACAAGAGTATAGTGATATTTTAAGGGGCCAATAATGACAAGGATTTTACAGTATTAACAAAGTTTCTGAGTGAACTTGATAGGTATTCCTGATCAAGAGTACAAACTAAACATAAATCTAAAAATTATAAATCATGAAAAAATTAATACATTAAATTAGGAGAATCCAAGATCCTCTAATGTGTCCAAAAAGTGACTAATTGAGTGTTTTATTCATTTTTGCATTACTCATATATTCAGGGAAGAAACATGATAGGCTAAATTATTGAATGAAGGGAATGTACAATTCTTAATGTCCTCTTAAAGTAAAAAAAGTGTCATCGGGATAGTGAAGAAGCAGGAAGCAAAAGCATTGCGTATGTGTGTATGTATATATTGTGTATGTGTATATAAAGGTATTTTACACATACATAAATACAAGGGGGCTTTAAAAAGTTAGTGGAAAAAAATCTATTATCTTTTCATTCAATTTATCCATGAACTTTTGAAGCCTCCTTGTATGAGTAATTCAGTAATTTAAAGTTTCACTGAAAATGTTCAAGATGCTTTCAAAGAGAGTGAGTTTGTCATGTTTTATTCTATATTTGGCTCTTCCCATTAAAAGAGTTATTTGTTGTTGTTGTTAAGTGTCGTCGAGTCGATTCTGACCCATAGCAACCCAGTACAGAGTTTCCAAGGAGCAGCTGGTGAGCTTGAACCATTGACTTTGTAGTTTAAATAACTTTGACACATTAGCCCACAGCGCCACATCAGGACTCCTTATATATACATACACACACATACTAATAAATTTGTATTAAACACACAAGAGGGGTGGCTTCAAAAAGTTCATGGAGAGTTCCATTATCTTTTCTATTTTTCCACAAATTTTTTATGTTCCCTCACACATATGTATGTGTGGGTATTTATTTTTATATTAAGAGCCTTGGTGGTGCTGTGACTTGGCATGGAGCTGCTAACTACAAGATCAGTTCTTCAAACTCACCAGCAGTTTGAGGAAGAAAGATAAGGCTGTCTGCTCCTATAAAGATTTATAGTTTCAGAAACCCTATATAGGGTTGGCCATGAGTAGGAACTGACTCCTTGGCATTGGGTTTGGGATACTTATATTGTGATGCTTAGGTTAGGCATTGGTTGGTTATGAGTCAAAATCAACTTGACGTCAGTGGTTTTTGTGGTATATATATGAGACAGATCGGGCTTTCTGCTCCCATAATGATTTACAACCTCGGAAATCCTATACAGGGTCAGGATGGGTCGAAACTGACTCCATGGCACACAAACACCACCACTATATATATAAACATATATGTAACAATGTGGGTTTAAACCAACAACCTTGAAGTTAGCAGTCCAGTGCAATCTCTCTCTCTCTGTCTCTCTCTCTATATATATACATATATATATATATACAGGGTAGCTGTGAGTCAGAACTGCCTCAACGGCATTTAACAACATGTGTTTTGTTAGTACATTAAGTCGATACCAAGTCATAGTGACACTATACACAACAGAACCAAACAACCAAACACTGCCTGGTCCTGCATCAGCCTCATCATCATTGCTACGCTTAAGCCCATTGCTGCTACCATTATGCCAATCCATTTTATTGGGGTCTTCCTCTTTTTCTCCAACCCTTACTTTAGTACGTATTGATGTCCTTCTGCAGTGACTGGGCCCTCCTGAAAATATGTCTAAAGTATGAGAGATGAAGTCTGGCTACCCTAGCTTCCCAGGTGTATTCTGGCTGTACTTCTTCCAATACAGATTTCACGAGACTTTTAATATTCTCCTCCAAAACCATAACTCAAATGCATCAATTCTTCTACAGACTTCTTTATTCACTATCCAAATTTCAGATATATATGAGGTTACTAAAAATATCATGGCTTGCATCAGGGGCACCTTGGTCCTCAAACTGACATCTTTTCTCTTCAACACTTTAAAGAGGTTTTGTGCAGCAGAATTGCCTAATGCTATATAAACGTCGTTTAATTTCTTGACTGCTTCTTTCATGAGTGTTGATGAAGAATCTAAGCAAAATGAAGTGTCTGACAACTTCAATCTATTCTCCATTTATATTGGTGTTATAGTTATCAGTCCAGTGGTGAGGATTTTTGTTTTCTTTACACATTGAAGTGCAACCCATACCAAAGTCTGTAGTCTCTGATCTTCACCAGTATTTTAAGTCCTCTTTACTTTGAGCAAGCAAGATTGTATCATCTGCATATCATAGGCTGTTAATGAGTCTTCTTCTAATCGTGATGCCATGTTCTTCTTCATATCATCCAGTTTTTCAGATTATGTGATCAGCATACAGACTGAATTAAGTATAGTGAAAGAATACAACCCTGATGCATACTTTTCCTAATTTTCAATCATTCAATGATTGCTTGTTCTGTTTAAACAACTGCCTCTTGGTCTATGTACATAGTTCCTCATGAGCACAATGAAGTGTTCTGGAATCCAGAGCTTGTTATGATCCACAGAATCAAAAGCCTCTGCATGATCAATAAAGCACAAGTACACATCCTTCTGGTATTCTCTGCTTTAAGCCAAGATCCATCTTAAGTCAGCAATGATATCCCTTGTTCCATGTCCTCGTGTTGAGTCTGGCTTGAACCTCTGGAAGTTCTTGGTCAATGTACTGTTGCAGCAGTTTTTTAATTTCTTTGGTAAAATTATACTTGCATGCAATATTAATATTGACTTCCAATGACTTCCACATTCCATTGAGTTACCTCTTTTTGGAATGGGCACAAATACGGATTTCTTCCAGTTGACCAGGCAGCTATCTTCCAAATTTTTTGGCATAGATGAGTGAGTGATCCTGTGCCACCTCAGTTGATTGAAATATTTTGATGTGTATTCATCAATTCCAAATGCCTTGTTCTTTGCCAATACTTTTCAATGTACATTGGACTTCTTCCCTCAGGATCATTGATTCTTAATCATATGTGACCTTTTGAAATGGCTGAACATCAACCATCTCTTTTTGGTGTATTCTTTCCATCTTCTTTTGATGCTTTCTGCATCATTCAATATTCTGCCCATAGAATCCTTCAGTATTGCAAGTAGAGGCTTGAATGTTTTCTTCAATTCTTTCTGCTTGAGAAATGTTAAGCATATTCTTTCCTTTTGGTTTTCTAACTCCAGGTATTTGCACATTTCATTATAACATCTGACTGGGTCTTCTTGAGCTGCCTTTAAATTTTTTCCATTCAGCTCATTTACCTCCTCATTTCCTCCAATTTTCTTTAGCATCTCTATGCTGGAGAACATATTTCAAAATCTCTTCTGATACCCATTTAACTTTCTTCCTTCTTTCTTGTCTTCTTAAAGAATTTTTGCTTTCTTTCTCTTTGATGCTCTTGATGTCATCTCACAACTCTTCTGGTCTTTGTCTTTATATCAATGCATCAACTCTGTTCCTCAGATGATCTCTAAATTCAGGTGGGATATGTTCAAGGTCATTGTTTTAATTTTCTTCAGCTTCAGTCTGAATTTGCATATGAGCAATTGATGGTTTCTTCCACAGTCTGCCCCTGGCCTTGTTTTGACTGATGATATAGAGCTTTTCCATCATCTCTTTCCACAGATGCAGTCAATTTGATTTCTGTGTCTGCCATGTGGAGAGGTCCATGTGTATAGTTGTCTTTTACGTTTCTTAAAAAGATATTTTCAGTGAAGAAGTCATTGTTGTTGTTAAATGCCGTAGACTCAGTTCCAACTCACAGCAACCCTGTATAGGATTCCAAGGAGCAACAGGTGGGTTCGAACCACCAACTATGCAGCTCACACTGACCCTGCAATGCAGCGCATTATCCTGCAGCACCAAATCAGAACTTCAAAGAAGTCAATGGTATTGCAAAATTCTATTATGTGATCTCCACCATCATTCTATTACTAAGGTCATATTTTCTATCTACTGATCCTTCCTCTTTGTTTCCAACCTTTGCAATCCAGTTGCCAGTAATTATCAATACACTTGATGGATCAATTTCATACAGAAGAAATTAGCAGAATTACAATTTCATTATCACTGGCCTAGTGGTTGGTGGGTAAATTTGAGTAATCATTATATTAACTGGCCTTCCTTGCAGGTGGTATGGATATTATC